ACTTGCAAAAGATGTCGAATCACTTGGCAGAGATGGCTTACAGTCAGCATGGCTCAAGAATGATCCAGCAACACCTGCAACGTTGCACACCTCTTGACAGAGAAGCCATTTTCTCAGAAATCTTGCCAGAATCGGAGAAACTGATGACTGATGTTTTCGGCAACTACGTGATCCAGAAACTTTTAGAATTTGGTTCCCCAGACCAGCGAACAGTTCTTGCTGGAAAGGTAAACATTAAAACGTGAGAGTTTTCCAGTAATCTTCGTTCCTCTCATTGCAAAAAAAAAGAAGATCATTCACAGCTTTTTGTGGCCTTGGTAACGAAGATTGTGAGAATTTCAGTAACCGAAGTCAGTCAATTGTAGAATAATACTGATTTCAATATTTCTGCTTTGATAACATATTTCAAAGATATTTTCCTCGGAAACAAGTAGACGGGGGAAAAAAACAGAGAAGAAATGACGTGATGAAAAATCTGATACATTTTCACGTATGATAAATCCGAATATATACAGAATACAGAACTTTCTTTCAGAATTTTTTTATTGAATTAATCGAAACATTCTATTGGTAAATTAAGCAAAAATTTCGCAAAAACAATCTCTCATTTTCCACTGTTTTCACTTGACGCATTAGCGACGAAAAAGTATCCGACATTATTGTATATTATACTATGCACAATCGACAAAAACTGGTTTTCAAAACTTTTTTGTATTTTGACGATGCCAGGATTTTTTATACTTATTTTAATATGCTTTCGATAGCCTTATTCGGAAACATTTCGAAAGCCTGAGTCATAATTTGCTGACATCCATGCTTCTTTGTTCTTCGAATTTTGTTATCCAGAAAAAATCGTCGCGTGAATTATTTTAGTTGATAAAGCAGTATGTTATGCAAATATTTATATGTAATGCGGATTATTTTACGTTGAGGACTTCCTGCACAATAATTGAAACTAAGTATATCCAATGGTTTCTTTCTCATTTTTCTTCGTCAGCGTGGCTTTGAGACCAAACTGCAAATAAGTAACCGGATTCAAAGTATATCTGTCTATCTTCAAAATAACGGAACGTAAATGCTTCATATATAAATTATAAATATTTTTTCATTCAGATGAAAGGAAATGTCCTGCAACTCTCGATGCAAACGTACGGCTGCAGAGTAGTTCAAAGGGCGCTGGAAACCGTCCCCTCAGACACTGCCAAAATTCTGATTCAAGAATTGCACGACCACGTCATCGAATCCGTCAAGGACCAGAACGGGAACCACGTGATCCAGAAATGCGTGGAATTCGCCGAACCCGCCACGAAACAATTCATCGTCGACGCATTCCGGGGACAAGCAACGTTTCTCAGCATGCATCCCTACGGCTGCAGAGTGATTCAAAGGATCCTCGAACACTGTTCGTCCCGTCAAGTCCGACCATTGGTGACAGAACTGTCCGTGGACCTGGACCGACTCGTCGTGGACCCCTTTGGCAACTACGTCGCCCAACACATGCTCGAACACGGCAGCCTGGAAGACAGAACCCGACTCGTCGCGTTTGCAAGGGGCAAACTTCTGAGTCTGTCTCAACACAAGTTTGCTTCGAACGTCATGGAAAAGTGTATCGAGTATTCGACGGATTTCGAGAGGAGCCAGTTCCTGGACGAAGTTTGTGGCTATGCATCAGACGTTGATGACCCGAAGCAAAGTCCTCTTTACATCATGATGCGAGACCAGTTTGCCAATTACGTGTTGCAAAAAATGCTGGACTTGACGGAAACGGAAAAGCGAAAGACAATTCTGAGCAGAATCGCCCCTTACATCAA